CTTGCTAGGTGAACTTTATTTCGTCCTTTCCATGGACCGTGGCAACTCTACAGTCAGTGCATCAGGGTTGTGAAAAGTTGAGCAATCGGTTGACAGATGAACATTCAGCCCTGCTCAGGCTTTTATCCCCCGGCAAATGTCGGTGGATGCAGTCGAGACTATTGATTAAAAAATTAAATAAATAAAATCTCAGAATCAATAAAAGGGGAAAACTACGCGAGAAGCGCACAGTTACTTTTATGATATACCTAATTTTAAGCGGGCCGATTTTTCGCCCTTTGTTTATCTTTTCCTGCACCGAAAACTTTGGCGCAGTGTGAATTTTAAAAGCACAACAACAAACATATATGCATACATACATCAAACATACACGCAACAAAAGATCTTGTATAGCCACACTTCCAAAATACACCAGACCAATGATTCTAAAGCATATTGAGTTATATCTCACTCATACTGCCGTGCTGAGGAAAAACGCCGTATGAACATTCGAGAGATGCCAAATTGCCTATTATAAAACATGTATTTGTGACAACATCCATGCATATTTTCCTTGAAATTTTCAGATATTTTAGGTTGAATTTCGTACGAAATAATCTGAAAATTTAGGGGGAAAATATTTGCAATTTTCCCAGTGAAGTCGGCTTTTATCGAAATAAACTTGGCAACGTCTGAAGGCTCATACGGCGTTCTTTCTTAGCACTGCATCATACACGACCGCGGAAAATGACCTCGTAATTCTGTAAAGATTGAGTATAACCATATATTTAACCAGTTTTTACTTTTTTCATTCAAATATAATTTAAAAAAAAAAAAAAAAAAAAAAAAAAAAAAAAAAAAAATGCGTGGCGAGAACGAAACTGTCTCTCCAGAGTCAGCCCTGGAGGTATTTGGATTCTCCACTCTGGGTAAAAACTGGATGAGAAACAGTGTCAAACATTTTTCCTCGAGAAACAACTTATGTCTCCTTCATCAGTGGTGGCATCACGTTGAAGAGAGACGAAAACTTGCGATGGGCTAGTTTATCCGACATTGCCAGTGATTCAGCCTGTCAGATAAACCACCAAAAACGTTTCCATGGTTTATTAACGAACCTCATCGACAAGCGTAACTTCAGACTGACGTCAACGCCAAGGTCACTGCCATCATCACTTAGCTCCGATGATGCGCTGCGATTGTAGGGCTTAAAATAAAGTAAAGCTGCTCATCCTAAATTAGCCCTGTCATAGTCAGAGCCGGTTCTTTTGTCGAATGCATCAAAAATAAATAATTCGGAAGGCTATTAACCTCTTCAAAATGCGCGTTGCAGCTGTTAAACCGGACAGTCGTTGAATTTTCAAATGCATTCTAGCTATGAATGCCTTATTTACGACGTGATGTGCCACTGTCGGCAATTTCCTAAAAGTTTCTTGAGATTTCGAGGAGAGCGACCGCGCATTGATACCGAAAAAGGAAGAGACAACCATAAACCTAAAACAATGCTGCATTGCTAAGGAGGAACGCCGTGCGAACCTTTAGACGTTGTCAAATTTCCTTTGTTAAATTAAAAGTTTTTGGAAAATTTTTGAACATTTTTCTCTCAATTTTTCAGAGAATTTTATTCACAATTGAATCGAAAGAGTCTGAAAATTTGAAGTTGAAATATTCATAATTTCTATCAAAATTAATATTTTTTGGGAGAACTTTGGCAACGTCAAAATGTTCATACGACGTTTTTACTTAACATACATGGCCCACCTGACAGATCAGGTCAGTTTTTTTCGGTGATCAGGCAGCTCCATCGTGCACACTATTATATAGTCACCTCGAGGGCAAGGATCCAAAAACGCCTTCATTTTTGCGGTACGCAACAAGGACATCCGTGAAACACGAATAGTTGTATTCAGAAGTTTCAACAATATGACGTGATGTTGAACCTGTCGAACGAGAAATTGATTCCATGTGGCAACGTGTAGTGGTTCCATGCTGATTCTTGAATAACTTAGAAAAGAAAAATAAGTTGCGTGAACGGTTTTGAAGTTTTCCCGTCTGAAACGCCATTCTCATAGAAAGATGAACTTCGGGTAAGGTTAAGGTTGGTTACTTATACAACAATTTCATTCATATACAAAATTTGTCAGTTGCGCTAGTCATTAAAGCGTGTTAAGATACTTTTTCTTCTTCTTTCCTCTATTTATTCAGCAACAGTATAATTTTACAAAATTCCACATGGTCTTACAAAATATAAACACTAAATAACGGCAGAAATTACTTTAGGATTCAAGAATTTACTGAAAAACGCTCTCCCTCTCAATTGAGATAGAGCCGGAAGCGCCTGACGGCATAGCATCGGCTATGTGTTAAGAGATTGGAACCTGTTTGTTTAAACATACAATCAGATTTATCCAAAAACTAAATTTGTGTACAAATTATATGTCTGCCTCGGATGTTCGGTACTAAATTCCAGTGGTTATGTGATAACGGCTGGGGTCAGGTCGCCACTCAATTTTTTACTTGTTTTTAAGGTTTTTCGCAGCTGAAAATGAGCTGGTAACAGCTCGAAACGTCCTGTGTTTTAGTGTTTTAATAATCTTTTAGCCTTATTTACCCATATTTTAATTAAATCTCCTCTTTATTTGCGTACAAATAAACTCCCTAAAAATATTACGTTTGAAAAAAAAAGAAAAAAAGAAAGAAAAAAAAACTTGAATTGATGTCATCAAATGCGGTAATCAGTACCAACAATTCTCCCCTTCCTAATTTCCCTGGTAAAAATTGGCAGTAGAATCCGTGTTCCAAAATACCATAGACCTACAGCCGGCTGCAAGATTTCTTATAGCCTTTTATATCCGATGGCGATTAAGCAGCAGCATGGCGATAAAGTGTATGCTAAACGTTACTAATTACGGATGCTAGGACTTAGTGAGTTTTCGGATTATTGCTCTCTTTTAGTGCTGTAGTATCTTGACTTATTTTGTGAGGAAAGCTCCGTACTCTTAAAGGATGCCTGTCATTCTCAATATGTTGGAGCGCCTTCAATTTCGTATGATACTGTGCAACACCTATGTGGTGAAAAAGTTGCTTGACGCGCCGCGGCTCGATGGGCGGCCGGCCAGCGCCTACAAATCTAACAGGGATACTTCACGTTTTGCGCAATACGTGAAGTATCCCTGTTAGGTTTGTAGGCGCCAGTGCGCCACAACTCCGCTTTAAGTTAGGCTCTAATATTTAATTTCGTGGAGTCAGCGTTTTTCAACTCATGACTTTGAAATGTTTACACACTCTGTATGGATTATTCTAATTTTAATTGATGAAAAAAAATATGTAGTAAAGGAAAATATAATGAGTGTTTTGTAATAATTAAGGTGATTCCGTACAAACTTAAGGATTTACAAAGCACACGAATTTCTACACAATTTCTTATAGCCTTTTGTAACCGATGGCGAAAAAGAAACAGCCAGGCGATAAAGTGTAAAGCCCGGCGATAGGAACTATAGCCCGGCTGTATAATTTTTTATCGCTTCTTGTAGCCCGGCCGTATGATTTTTTCCACTTTCTACAGCCAGCTATATGATTTTCTATCACTTTCTTCCGTCGGCCATAAGAATCCCTTATGGTATTTTGAAACGTAGCTCCTATCGCCAATTTTGACCAGGGTTATTGATTTGATTCGCACAATGCATACAGGCTCATCCATTTTTATTACTGTTTGTACAACCTATGGAAAAACTGCGATGCGTACTCAATGGCGAATAGTATTATAAATTATGGTTTTTGAAGGAAAATATATTTTCCTTATTTACAAACCAAGTAAGTATCTACTGATAATTAATTAGTTGGACGTATTGATTGATTATTTTTCCTGTGGGTAGTTTTAAATCATCGAAATAAGATCCCGGAATAAATTCAACTGACCATTTAAATTTGATTAAGTTCTGATAAAATGAAAGCTCGAGCAAACTCAAGGGCATCAATTTCAAGGCACGGAATGGACCAAGATTTAAAGTGATATTTCACAAGTTTGACCCTAGCTTAAAAACAACAATCTCCCACGAAATTGCTGGTTTTAGGGGACTCCACTAAACATTAAAAGCGGTCGGATTAAATGCTGCACAGTCTAGCTCGCGGCTCAATCCTTCAGTCCCGCCTTTTGTCATCGTTTTGCTCATCTCATGTAAGTGAATAAATGTAAACAGCGGACTAGCCTTGACAACGCAGATTTTAGGTTTACGGTCCTGCGGCCGCGGGGAATCAATTTACAAAGTGTCGAAAATGCGAAAACGAGGAAGGCAGTAATTAAACAAGGCGCATCATTGCCAACTTGCAGTGATTGTGTATTTCGAGTACACTCTACCCGAGACTAAAATTTGGGGTCTCTCAAGACTGCATGGCAAAAGTTCATCTCCGAAGAATTTACAATAAACTAGTCGCACAATGGAATAACGTAAATCACTGACTGGCCAATCAGGCATTAAAAGAATGGACTTATTTTTCCAAAAAAGTATATAATGATCATTCAAGTTCAATTTTAGGCTGAAAATGCACACTATGATGATCTTATTTCCAGCTACATACATTTCGATCGCGAAACTTCCCCTTTTTTCATAGTTGACTCATCCTTTTTATGCGTTTATTTAATTTTTTGGTGCCTTTAAATAAGTTTCAAAACTTTAAAATGTCACTATTTCTGCTTTCGCTATTCTTGTTACACCTCGTGGGCGGGATTGTCCAACTTTTTTGTCCCGTCCGTAAATAGGTCATCCCTAGTCCGCGAAATGGACGATGTTCTTGCTCATTCCGTGAACTGGGTAGCCAGTCCGCCGACTAGCTGGTTAAAAGTCTGAGACTTAAGACAAATTATTCGCGAGATCTTGATCAAAACTAAAGAGTATCAAATAAAAATAAAAACATTTCTTGTGCAGTTTTGTTGGTAGGCAAAACATTAATACGGATCTGGGTGTTTCCTTCGACATTTTAAAATCATCTGGTGCGACACACACACGCAAAGAAAAAACTTATTTTTTTACTTTTCTCAAAAGTTTTTAATATGAACTGATGAGCTTTTCACATTTTGCATATATTATTAGTATCTTGGATGTGCGTGTTGCACATTCAAAAATTGAAGGCGTTTCTGCTTTACAAAGACTAGACTGAGTTGACTGCAGCGCTTTGATACAACTATTCGTGTTCCACGGATATGCGGGTGGTATGCTCAAAATTGAAGGCACTTCCGCTTTTTACCTGATATCAGTGATACCTGAGATCATACGTTTCCCAGTAATACTTATCATCGCTGCTCTGACGTAAAGGTGTATCTCTAATACTACGTGAGCCCTGAAAAACACAGAGCTCTATGGATAACGGGGCTCACGTGGAAACTGAGTTACACCCTTACGTTAAAACAGCGACGTTATGATCTTCATTTTTCCCAAGGGTCGCCACGAGGCCCAATATCTATACCCTCTTTACAATGGCATTGTAACTTTTGTCTTTCCTAAGATTTGGCTGAAATGACTCGCATACTCGCAGACGCCCGACACACTGTGTGCCGGGCTCGGTGTCCGCAAGATGGGTGTCGAGCGATGTGCGCGATACGCGAACCGCGGGAAGACCGGTGATCTTGAACCTGGCGCACGTTGGCCGTTGCCGTTGGGAAGGCGAGGGGCCGTGACACCAAAAGTCCCTTTTATCGCCGATCCGCGCCGCCTTTATTTGAAGACGAACGCTCGAGATCGCAGTTTACGAGCTCCTCTCCAAACCACCGTCCATCCCGTCGCTGGAGGCCCCAGGGCGTCGCTTTAAACAGGAGCTGAAACCTGAAAATCGTCTATGATACGATCGGAGCCGTCGTTTGAAAAGATCATAGGATGAGGTAATTTTCGTTGGAGGTGAGATCATAGGATGAGGTAATTTTCGTTGGAGGTGGTTGAGAAATCTCCGGAAATTTGCCTAACTGCATGTATGAAATCATAAAAAAATAAATGACTGAAAAACCAATTCTTCTTATCCCTCCATTCACTAATGTACATGCTATATTAATGTAAGAGGAATAAGGTATTGGGTGGCCTTGGAGGACGAGGCACATAAACATTGGCGGATCCAGCAAATTGACAACATTGCCTTTCCTCCATATAAACCCATGGAAATGTATCGATTCTTAAGGTGCCAAGTGCTCCGACAAGAATCGATTATTTGGCATAAGTTTAAATGAAGGAAATCCGGTATTGCCAAATTGCTGGACCCGCCTCTGCACATAAATGCAGTATTTGCTGTTTCGAGAAATACGTGTTTGATGTTTCGAAATTGTATGGGTCTTTACAGCGGAGAGGAAGTTCAAACTGACTTTTTGAAGCTTACAAATGGAAATTCGGGAGGGAATTTTTACAGAATATGCACTAAGACTAGTTTCACTTGAAACCATTAATATCTCAATTCTTCAAAAATTGCACTCACGCGCCTTGTCCTCCAAGCCCCTCTATTGAGCTTTTAGCTGGTTCGGTGGAAGCGAAACTAGGTGAACTTGGGCCATGCTTGAAAAAATGCAGTATGCAAGAGAATTACACGTGTACTTAAAAATTACCATTTCATGGTGAGAAGTATACGCAGCCCTTTTTTAACCATTTTTTTAAAACTATAGTTCAGAATTTAAAAAAATGCTTTCGATATACTTGATCCCTTACCTAAGGTGATCGCTCATGTCCGAAAAAGGCCACACTTCATGGCGCGGTCGGTGTTTAGTGGTTGAAAACAGCTCAGAATGGAAACGTATGAAAAAAATTCTCTCGGTGTATCGGTGTAGATTCTCAAGGAAATAACCTAGAACAAAGCTGATATAGCATGGCGCTGATGTGATAGCTGTTGAACATGGTTTCTGAAGTGAAAGGTGATACAATTTTGAAAGAAATCTTCCGAGTCAAGGATTCTGTTTCCTTTGTTTCTCCGGCAGATGATTCTCGCACGGAATTATTATACGGCGTTGCTTGTTCTAGATTTTAGTCTCAATATTCGAAACGTCTTAACATCACGGGCAAATATTAAAATATTTTATGGGAAACAGATAAGAGTCTACTTAGATTGGTTCCTTTAAATTTGAATTATGCAGAGAAAGTGATAGAATTCATGTGTAACATTCACTTCTGGATAAAAAGATCTATAGAAGATATTGATCTAATATGATTAATTTATCCGCTTGTGACAATACACTGCTGAGAAATATATTTTCAAAACAGGCAAACTAAAGAAAAATGAAGCATCATGTTTCAATGCATAAGGCATGTTTAGAGACTGAAGTAGATTCTTTTATGTGATGTAATTATCAACAATAGAACTGGACTAATTTTTGCAATTGCGAACTACAAATTCTAGGTAAGTTTAGAGGCAGCGTATACGCCAATAATTCTCCTTTGCAGATGAGTGTTTTTACGGATGAGCCAGAAATTTTAGCTCCCAACTGCAAAATATAGTCCGACTATTAGTAAGAGGATATAAATAAGGGGCCATATTTTTAAATTTGCCGAGGTAAGTGCTAAAATTGGATTTAAGCCCTAAACAAATGGTTTAAACTTACGTTTGAATTTTTTTCTCTTTTTTGTGGGCAAAAGTCAATAAACGCACCGATATCACATTTTAAAAATCTCATTTTGACCAGTAATTGTTGCCGTAGAAAAATGAGAGAAGAGTTTTTAATTTCACTTGATACGCAATGATGTTTAATTAATCTGTTATTATATTCAGCTTCGTTAACGGCCTAAACTGACTTTGACTGCGACTACTTCATCCGATTTTTAACAGGATTTTCCTACTCTAAACCTAATAATAACTTTTAAGGAAATCCAGAGTTTATTTCACCACTTATCAACGCCGGACGTTGTAAACTGGGTTTCATGGACAAATTCAATAAAGCACACCGACATGTCTAGTGAAGCGCCGTTACGATTCCATTATCATATCAACAACTCATCATTTACATAATATCATTGAGATCTGCACCATAATTATAGGTTTTACTCCTCGTATTCTTAACGTAATTAGCGTCTTTCCAATGACTCAATCGCAATCCGCACCGTCTATTGTCTATCTCACAACGACGCATTGATCGGTGGGCGAAGAAGCATTTTGGGAAATTGTTTGAGCGATCGTCTTGAGAGCTTGCACCTAAGTGAGACGGTACCTCCGCAGTGTTAAGCAAAATTCAATCTCTTACAGCTTTTAGCATCGTACATTGTACACAAGAAAGAGAATATGATACCATTGATAAAACAATGTCAAACTTTTTCCGATGTTTCTCTCATTTTCACTCTGTGTTTCAGGAAACTCATTTTATCAAAATATCGCGAGACTTGCTTAAATACTTCTTCGACAAATTATTTTTACCAGGTTCAAAATAATTAAGCAACTTTTACATTAGGATTGATTAAATACTAGTAATTTACTGAATAAATGTATCAGATTTTGTGGAAGTCTTTTAGATTTTTATCAATTAACCTACATTTCTCTACATGTTCTTCAAGAGAGATGAATGTTTATCAAGCTTTTACTGCACAAAATCAATTGAGACTATCCAAAGAAAAAAGGCTTCTAGCCTCCAGATGTCATTTTTTTGGAAGACCAATTTTGTCTAATACCGAGAGTGAAAACTGAAATTTGAATTATCAGCGACAATATCATTCTGAGGTCCTAACGAATAAATTGCGAATCCTTTGGTTAATTTTGGTGCAAATAATTAACTGCGTAAAGTCGATTCATAACGGGGATTTTGCGTACCCTAAATGTGGTGGATTATAATTTTTAATTTTTTCCCCCTACAAACTATGTTCCTTTAATTAGGGACTTCAAAGCACCATATGGTTTGGTCCTAGATTTTTGAGCTTGTTTGCCCCAAAATTTTTGCACAACATTTTTATATAATACTCTGTTATGATTAACTCAATTTTGAAGGTTCATTTTTCTGCGGATGGTCACAAAACTAAAAACTATCACAATCGGAGCAAAGATTTAAGGTTATTAACAATGACATGAAAAATATCGACACGCTACAGTCTTGAAATACTGAGAACATGAATGAATCGTGTGTACTGATGTAAGAGCTGCAAGTAGTGCTCAAAGGTAAATGAAGGTGGGATATTTGTTTTCGGTTGGAATCATAAAAAATTCGTGACCTCTCGACTTGTGCAACTTCACGATATACTCCCATAGCCCAACTGAATCTTGCAATGTTGTCCAGTGTGGTCACATGGTACATTTACTCATAGAAGTTTACTATTGAATTTAAGTGCACTTTGGCAGGGATATTTTTGTGTAATATTACTCGGCTCATTTGCTGAAATACGCATTATATTGTTCGCTGATAGCTGGATATTATTAGAACTAGACATCACCGAAGTATATGAAGCATTTGAGTTAAGGAAAAAATTAAAAAATTCACAAACAAAGTATTCAAAATAAACTGGATTTTCAGTATGAATAACTGAGAATTGTAAATGGCGTGTGCAAAAAAATATCAGGTTTTTATTTTTTTTTATAAATGTTACTGTTATTTGTTTGTTTTTGTTTTTTTAAAATAATAAAAGTCCACCTATACGCTTTTCATGTGCGTTACTGCCACTGATCTGAACAGAGCTGATACGTGCCAAAAATTTAGGAAACGCTACTTGGCCTACACTGGAAAAAAAAAGTTCGGTCGTATGTACCGAAGTTCGGTGTTACAAGTAAGTTCACTCCAAGTAATTCGATTCGTCAAACTGAATTTTCCATTTGTAAAATCGAACTGTTGGTTCGTGTAACCGTGCTCGTGCGGTAAAGCAGTTAACGAACTAAGTTTGATCATTTACGCCGAAAGTTCATTTTGACAAACCGAAAATTTGGGATGATATGAAACACCGAACGTTTGGTTTCTATGACCGTTTTTTTTTATTTCAGTGTACCTCTTCATACATGACCACATAACCGTACTTTCCGCTATTTTCTTGTCTGAAAAACGACGAATGATGTTGACAAGCCCAGTGCTAGCAATACCAAGTGCCCAAGCGGACAACATTGCATGAGCGTGGGCCTTTGGTGCAAAATGGACCAGATTTTTGCCGCACGGAGATGCGGCAAAGGCTGGCATGTTGTGAGACAATCAAACCGCATGCGCCATTAGTTCTGGATGAGCAAAACGGGGAACTTTCGGTATTGGGACTCTGAGGCCGCGCCGTAAATTGAACCGCGACCTACATCACCCGCACCATTGTTGCGGAGTTTCTGGCAGGAATTTGCAAGAATTAACATTCCACATTTGGATATTCCTCCTCGATTTTTGACCGAAGAATAGAGGTAATTTCTTAAATCATTATCAAGCTATTAGACAACGCCTTCAGCGCTTTATTTCCTACCACCAACGTTAGCATCCATAGACGTAAGCTCCTTTATTTCCTTCATGACCATCAGATATAGTCTTGTATCTTCAAACTTCTGGCATATGTCAGAGGAGGAAGCACCAATATCGGAAGAGAAAAAGGGAAAGGTAAAGAAAAAGTAAGAGGCAAATAGAAGGAAGAGGAAGGATGAAAAATCAAAATTAGATGAGGGAGAATGATAAAAAAAGGAAAATGAGGATGTAATAGAAAAATAATATCAACAATTCGAGCAAAAGAAAAATTACTCGTTTTATGTATGCCCTCTCTTCTCTTTCTTTCTCTTTCTCTCTCTTCTTTCTCTTCTTCTTCCTCTTCTCCCTGTTGTTCTTCTTCTTCTTATTCTACATTTCCTTCCTACTCGTTTCATTATCTTTCTTCCTACTTCTCTTGCCCTCTTCCACCTCCTCTCTTTGATCTTCCTTCCTCGTTTCTTTCTTTTCTCTTCCTTTTTCCTCCTCTCCAGGCCTAAGATTTTTTTTCCGCGTATTTAACATAAGTTACGTAGAAGACCCGAGTCCATCTGACCTAGATTAAACGTTTGACAAAGCACAATATCTTAGATACAACTATGTGGACTTTCAAGTAGTGCAAATTGCATAGCTGGCAAAATGGAGGAGCGCTTAATGTTCCGTTATCACGTCTATTTACATCTCTGCCAAAGACTACATTTATATTTTTCTCTATACGAGTATACTCGTAAATACTCGGCCATTTCGAATACCCTCAATCAAATGATTCGAAAAATAAGTCATCAATAAACACTATGATTAAGAGCGTTTATTAGAGCGGCTGCTCGTTTTCTAAGATAGTGGTCAATCAACTTCGGCTGGGATGGTTTGAACTCTGAACTCGGATTGAACCGTAAAACCAGCGTCAAAGTTTAAAGCGTGCCTACCGATGTTATCAAATCCATCTGCCGCGTTTTGACCATAAGCGCCTGCAAAGGAGGCAATTAAAAGTGCGAAACGAGTTCATCTGCATCCTCGCGGATATGCGATAAATTACCCGGCACCGATGACGATGACGATGATGATGATGATGATGATGATGGGAGACGTTCTCCTTCTTATTGAGCGACGCGGCCGAGGTCAAAATATCCTCGTCTGGTATCATCTGCCCTAGCCAATATGAGCGTTGCCAAAACGAGGGAAAATTAAACGATGTCCCCGCCAACCATCTTCATTCACGATGAAGTTTTTCACTTAAGCTTTTGTCTTACTATCAATATTTTATAATATAATCGATAATATCAGTGATTAGAAACCGGAAGTGGCGTAACGGTCAGTCCGTCAGTATGTGAAGGAACGTTGAATATGCACTGGTCTGGAGGTCATGTCCACTTTATATGAACGAGCATATTTGTAGTGTAGCCACGGGTTCATTTTGCTATGGTAACAGTATTTATACATTAACGGAGCGGGGTGTTTCCTTGAGAATTTTAAAACCTCCTGGTGCGACGCAAAAAACACAAAAACACAAAAAACACAAAAAACACAAAAAACACAAAAAACACAAAGGACACAAAGAATACAAAAACGCCAATAAACCCTGAATTTCAAACTTTTAAAACATATTTAATCTATCTCCTAATAATTTAAAAATTAGAGAAGTTACCTCTAATTTCTGACTTCATGAGTTCAATTCGTTGCTCTTTTGACGTATAGGCGTACATAGGTTTCCCAATGAGCCCCAGAAAACATTTAGTTGTTTAGATTATAGGGCTCTCGATGGAATATAGGTATACTATAACGTCACATGGACAACCAGATGAACGAAACTACGCGCAAAATATTTTTTGGGGAATTAGAGATTATTTTCGGTTGGATTCTTAGCTTCTAATTTTCTGACAAATCTTATCAGAATCTTTTCCCCGAAAAAGTTCCCTCAATTGAGCAAGGTCGGTCTCTTTTTCAGTGACTTCCGCAATTTTACCCTTTCTGGTAATTATGTATCTCATCTATTTTTTCTTCCTAAATTTGGATTATCAGCGCAAAATTGGTAACGTCCCGCAAGTACGTGCCAACAACTTGAATTACTGACGATGGGCAACGCGAGTATTCCTATTTTACTGTTCAGCGGTTTTACGACGCAAATCATTCCAGGCCACGTAAGACGCTATTAAATGCTTGCTGCAGTTCACCGATGATTTTCGAAATAATCATCACCACGCGAAGCAGCATCATGCACTAATCGTCGAAAGACGTAAGAGTGCATTATTTGCGAATGATTCCGGAAAAAAACACGACACAGAAAAACCAATAATTAAGGAGAAATGGTCGGCTAATGTGATGACCGGCGATGATCGAGGTAGCGATTTTGACAAATCACAGAATGGGTACGTTTGCGTTGAGAATAGATTTGAGTTATGTAGTGTGGCTGCTTCCTTGCTGCGATGTGAGTTATGTTCGAGATGGCTGTGCAATGAATCTGTGATGATGGCTGTGCAAGAAGTTTGCGTAGATTCGGATATTCGGTGTAAACGTACATACATACATATAAGTC